GGATAGCGGACGCGTCTGGCCTGATGTAGGTGGAGAAAGCCGAAGAGGACCAGCGCCCCAGCTGTTGCAGAGAGGTGTGGGGGAGCCCCAGCGAGGCCGCGCGCGTGGCGGCGCCTATCCTGAAGGAGTGAGCTGTGTAGAGCTGGGGAGACAAATTACAGAGGAGCAGTAGGGATCTTAGTTGAGCTCTGAACCAGGTTGCTGTCATGGGAAGAATGTCTGGAGTGAGAAATAGAGGTCCGTTAAGATCTCCTTTTTGCAGCGGAGGCGAGTGTAACGCATAAAGGATTTGTAGGGGCAGAGAGATGTGTCCGAGCGAGCTATTACTATATTGCAGGCTCCTTTGATTTTTGAATGTTTGAGACGGAGGTTGAAATGGTCAGGGGACATTATGTTGGGTGAAAAAGAGCGACCTTTGTGTAATGCTTCCACTACGTCGAGATTATCACACGTGACAGAGATCCTCTTTCTCTGCCACGTGTGATTCCACAGCGCGCAGGCCACGACCACTGGGAATATCACGTGTAGGGCAGAGGAGATGCTCCGGTGGAAGTAGCGGCCACGGCCCGGCAACCCAATGGTCCTGGAAGAATCCCCCAAAACCCACGGAAGGGGCAGCGTCCGTGTAGAAGCGGAGACCTGTAGGGGCAGAGACATGTCGGAGAGGGCCATTGATGTTGCAGGCGCCCTTACGCTTGAAACCTTGGGTTGGAGAGTAGAAATCAGGATAGTAGGAAGGTCGGGAAGGCCGTGTCTCGGACCGCATGAAGGTTGAGTGAGCAATGGTGAAACGCTTACGCAGAGAAGCCATAGAAGGAGAGCAGGAAGATGCTGCGAGGAGGGCGGACATGTACTTGGAAGATGAGCCGGAGTTCAGCGCCGCTGCAGGAATGGGCAGCATGATGGGGAGCCTGCGATCAGAAGAGTGAAGAATACAGGTATGGATGCCTTTGATTAGGAGTCCGATTGACGGCTCAGCGCAGCTACTCGGCCAGCTGCATCTGATAGAATCAGAAGATTCAGTAGAGAGATGAAGCATGACCGCCGAAGCGACCCTGGGAGCATAGGTGCGAGTCCAGCGCAGCGCGGCATACCCAGCCGGGCTGCGTCCATTAGAAGCAGGATAAGCTTCTGAGAGAGTGGGATGCAGCAGTAGCAGTAGCAGCAGCAACCTCAGATAATAACGGCAATAGTCCTGTATTAAGCCGCGACAGTAGCAGCAGCAGCAGCAGCAGCAGCGTCCTTAGAAAATAACAGTAATAATTCTGTACCTAAGCCACAGCAGTAGAATGTTGTTGTAGCTGTTCAGTGTTTCAGTAAAAGAGATGCAAGTGAAGAGAGATGGCAAAGTAAATGAAGCAGCAGCAGCATAGTAGCAGAGCAGTAGCCGTATGAAGCAGCCGCAGTAGCAGTATGAAGCAGCAGGAGCAGTAGCGGCAGCAGCAGCTGCAGCATCCGTAGATAATAACAGCAATAATCCTGTATCAAAGCCAGAGCAGTAGAATATTATTGTAGCTGTTTAGCGTTTCAGTAAAAGAGATGTGAAGTGAAGAGAGATGTCAAGCATGAAGCAGCAGCAGCACGGCAGCAGTAGCAGTATGAAGCAGCAGCGGCAGCAGCAGTAGCTTCAGCATCCGTAGACAATAACAGCAATAATCCTGTATCAAAGCCACAGCAGTAGAATATTGTTGTAGCTGTTTAGTGTTCAGTAAAAGATGCGAAGTGAAGAGAGATGTCAAAGTACATGAAGCAGCAGCAGCACGGCAGCAGTAGCAGTATGAAGCAGCAGCGGCAGCAGTAGCAGCAGTAGCGGTAGCAGTATGAAGCAGCAGGAGCAGCATTAGCAGGAGCAGCAGCACCACGATGCGATTCATACCAACAACAGACGTGTCACGCCAGCGTGCGCCGCTTGTTCTCCGTGAGCCAGGTTACATACGTGTCTGAAGC